GGGGCGGTAGAGTGGTGGGGGGGCGTGGAATTGCTAGAGTGGCGGGAGTGGGGTGGGGTGGGGAGGAGGAGTCGCGGTAGTCGTCGTTACCGTGACCGTACTAGTACTTGCCAAAGCCGTAGCAAACGACGGCAGCCGAAAAACCGTTTAACAATACTTGCAGCAAAGTCGAGACTACTCTTGCGATTGTCAGCACCAGCGTTTTGCACATTGAATCCGGGGGCACTTGCCGTCACGACAGCTGAGCATGGTATTCTCCAGCTTCAGATCGGTGTGGATGATGCCGCGGGAATGCAAGGCCTCGACGCCTCCGGCAAATGGCTTTTGGGCGTAGCGCGGCTAGAGTTTCGATTCTTGTAGGAGCCACCCACTCCAAAAACCTTGCTCCAGTCTCTGCGAGAACTAGGCTTAAGCTGCTTCCATTCACAAGACGAGGGCCATGACAAACGTCACGAACACGGACACCGAAGGGCTGGAGAAGTATCCAAATTTTCTTGTACAGATATTGAAACATAATGCAAATGGTGCTGTCTTTGGTATGACATGTGTGCCCCTCACCACCCTTCCCCGCAAGAGGTTCCAAAATTCTTGCAGGCTGACTGCGCCGTCAAAAGTACAGTTTAGCCCCTTGCGAAGAAATCACAGCTACAAGTACTCTAGGGACCTAAAAAATTAGAATAGGGATTTGGGGTANNTTATAATATGATTATAATAAGGAGCCCCCAAAGTAGTATTGGTAATTTTTCTAGGCCCCTATATTAGACCGCAGGATTACCTGTGAATGCTTGGCTTCGTGACGATCAACAGCGAGGACTAGAGCTGTCTGTATGATTGCCGGATGTTGCTAGACCGAGAATAATACCACAGTGTGGCTTCTAGGTGTTCCTTCCGGTAACTCCTGTTGCGCCTACGAGCTCCTTCCACATATTTCTGCCCACAGATGGCTGAAGTTTACCATCTCCCGTTTATTTACAGCTTCGTTGATAGAACACTACAACTTGTGGCCCGGTTGTGCTATTTCCGGATGTCTTCCTAGATGTGGTTCATGGCACTGAGTAGCACTTATTTAGCTAACAACATGCTGCCATTGACGTCAGCAAGCGGCAAGCTTAGTGCTATGGGAACCAACGCTACATAAACCTCCCCGTCTAAGCCACTCTCTTGTATCGTGACGTCCTGCTGTCGGGCTTGGCTTACTGAAATTACTATCGGCAAAGTATCGAGGACCCAACGGAAACAGGAAGCTTAAGCTGGGACTTGCCCTTGGATGCCTATTCTTTTGGAGCTTTGTTATGCTGCGTTGGAATATGTACACATTTGCTGGCTAAACATGCCACATTGCGGCTTGAAATGCCGCCGCAGAAACGATGACAAGTCCAAGCATGGCAATCTCACTGGATATTTGCTCGCTTCGTGCGCTTTGTAGATTCCACTCTCGATCTTTAAACGCCCTGATCCCTACCATGCCCTGTCGCCTTGCACTATCTGGTGGAAATAGGCCAGGACAAGTGCGCTGCCTCGGCAAATTCCATGCAACTAGTCCGAATTAGGAAGGGATTCTGATGAACAAAACAGTAGCCTCCCGGCCAGAAAACCCTCAAACATTAACTAAAACCGCTAAACCATAATTCAAACCGTGACTGCAGCTACCCGATTTGCTATTGCAGATGCGGCTTCCCTCAAGGTAGGAGTTGCACAGGACGCGAATGAGGAGGCTGCCGATCTACGGGTGCTACGGGTTTATGCTCTCACAACTCGGACATGCCAGGCGAGGATCCAAAGTCGAAAGTCGGCGTGACACAGTGTGCAGACCCTCACCAGGATTTTGGGCTTGGGGCTCTGGTAGAGGCCACAGTAAAACTGTGATACATCAGTGGATCAGCGTTCGATTGTTTGAAATATGTGTGGCTAAAAAGCAGGCAAGCAGGCAGCTGAAGAACGCGATTCAGGATATCCCGCTCCGCCAGCAATAGTGTTAACAAGTAGCTGTATTCCTGCATAGTCTACATATTTGCGGAAGTGTTGCTTCCTGATGGATCCCCAAACCCTGTTGGGATTCAGTCGGCCAGTGCCTGCTAGAGGGTAGAATGCAGTTTCTTTCTCATCCGCCCGTCCAGCTGACGGAGTCGCTCCGCAGGGAAATTCGTTTGCACCACTCGGGTTTAGGATTACCCGGTACGTCGCCACCATTTCGTCCCTGCACATTGCCCACCCACAGTTGGAACTCACAACGATGCTGGCAGAAGGACTTTTGCAAAGGCAAGGTGCTGATGCCGTGGCCAAGCGTGTCCCAGTTTTTCTTGGGCTGATCCGAGTTTCTGCACTCACCTTCAGGGAATGTCGCTTTTTTAGAAGTCCTTGCCGAGCAAGGTCTGCATATCAGCCGTATGCCAGAAAGCCTGATAAAGCCCGAGGCCGCCACACTATGTAAGTCTGTCCACACCTCAATCTTCCGCCAAATTCGAGGGAAAGAAGAGCCACAATAGGAAACGTCGCACTACTTTGCGGGCTTGTCCTACTGCCCACACTCCCAAGAAGCCATCCGTCCGACCCACGCACCAAAGCCCCAATGCTGGAACATGCTGGAGGTCCCCCGGCAACAAAAACCCTAATCTGCCTTTGCGTTGGCATGCGTTCACGAAGCGAAGAAAATCACCGCCATTAAGGTAGGGCATCCTTGGCGCATTTCGGCTGCAGGGTTGGGTCGGCTCTTGGATTCCGGCTTGAACGAGAATAACACGGGCCTGCACTACCCAAACGCGGAATACATAGAACTGCTCAAGGTTGGAAGTACGATGCCGAGATGTTGGAGAACGGTTGACGGGATGGTGCATGGTGAAGGCAGATCAAACGGCCACTTCTTCAATCAAGAACCCGAGTTCAAGCCTTGGATATTTTAGCACTCCGAAGATGCCAGGCAGAAAAAACCTGAAACGAACATCCCGGAGTGTGCCCAATTAGCCAGAAAGGTCCAGACCAAACTTCTGGAATGTTTCTCGGCAGCCTCGAAATCCAAGCGCCGACAAGGCCTGGACATTATCCTGCATAAGCCGTGACTTCAAGTCCTCGGATTCTACGTACTCAAACCTGGCTTCTGTCCTGGCTGTTGTTTTCAGCACGGAAACAGGGAAACACACAGAGAATGCACAGGAAAGGCCAGTTGTATTCCAGGCAGAACCTGCTTGGAGTGTACAGTCTCGGTAGACATAGGTTTTGAGTAGACTTTTGCACGCCTGTCCCGACATGTCGCACCTAGTTACGGAGTCCCTGCTGACAAGTTTCAGGAGCCAAGTGCCTTCGTCCGATTGAAATGCGGCAGGCGAGCCGACAGCTGAGATGCAGTAGTCCGAGACCTAAGCCAGAGTAATTGACAATTCTGCAACATGCTACATCACGGAAAGCTACAAGAGAATGCCAGCCTTCGTCCAGCCATGGATTGTAACGACCACTGTATGACAGCAATACAGTCACATAAATAAAAAGATAAAAAATACATCTATATATATATATATATATGCTTTCGGGTCCTGGGCCGCTCCACTCCCCCCTCCCCGCCAACCCGCCCGCTGGCCCAGGTGGGGACAGTCGTTGTTTTCGCCGCACACCGGAACAAACCCACGCAACGAGCCCACCGCAATCCGTCCGCGATAGCCATCAGAGCAGGGACACAGGCACCATTTGCAAGGAGAAAAAGGCAACATCAAATCCTCTAGCAGCATCGACTAACAAGCGGCTAGGATATGGGCAATCAAGAAGACGCGAGATCAAGAACACAAGCAAAACCATAGGCACCACCACATGCCCACAGGGGGGGGGAGGGGACAAGGCCAAACAAGAAGACCACCCAGGCCCCACTCCAAAGGAGGGGGGAGGCGACAAGGCCAAGCAGGAAAACCAGCCACCTGCATCATATATATATATATACACACACCTATACACACATAGGTATATACATATAGATAATATGCAAATATGTGTTTACAGCATGTATTTCAATGTGTGTACACTATGTATAATATGTCTGTATGTGTGTATGTATATATATATATGTATACATGTACGTATGCATACATAGACAAACCGAACATTCCAAAGATCGATAGATCGATAGATAGGTAGATGGGCAGAGACGTCGACATTTTGACAGACAGACAACTGGCTGGACAGAGAGGTAGGTAGATAGAAAGACAGAACGAAAAATAGACAAGCACCCGCTTACCTGCAAATATCATACGTTCACATGGTGCCGTGTCCAGTCGCGTACCGACCGTGCTACGATTACCGCCGGCCCCCTCCCCCCCCCCCCCACACACCCAACAAAAATGCCGACTGTCATGGGACAGATCGGACATCGTGGTTTGCGAAGGTACGCGGTCCCTAGGAAAGTGCAGAACGCAGGGCTCACCCCTCCCTCCCACTGAGCGTGTGGGTGGCTCTGTGTTCGTTGATGTTTGGGATTTGGGTTCAGGTTGGTGGGGCCGCAACCCTGCAGAGTAAGTCTGCATGGACTTGGTTTCAATCCGCCCTTAGATGGTGGCCTGGGTAGGTTTGGGTTTGACACGTACAATCCTATTTCATATGCTTCTGTTTTGGTGTGTGAGTGTGTGTGTGTGTGTGTGTGTGTGCGTGCGTGCCAGCGTGCGGGTGTGTGTGGGTTGGTGCGCATGTGGCTGATGGGGTGTGCGGTTGTGTTGCCGTATGTGCGTGTGGGTCTGCATTTTCGTGGGCGTGGCGTGGGCCCCTGTGGGTGTGGGTATGGATGTGTGTGGATGAGTGGGTGAGTTTGGCACCCCGTCCTTCATGCCGGGTGCGTCTGCATGCGGACGAACGACAGCTGCGAGAATCGCGAACCCAAGCCACCCCATCCATGCGACTGTAGCACTCTTGAGACGTCGCAAAGGCAGCAGGATCTGACTAGCTGGAATCCAAAGCGACATCAGGATCGCGACCTAAACTCAACATGTTGGCCCTTTGTAATTGAAACATGGCGGCCCTCAGTGCTAAGTAATAAGCCTCACATTCCAAAAGAGCTATAACTATAACAATCTCCACACTTAGAGCAGCCCTTTCTCGTTGTTCTGCTCAATCCAGCTGCATCTGGGGACATGGCCAACACTATAAGCCTACTTCGGATCGGGCCTCGTTCATTTTCTTCAGGAAACCGATCTCCCGGTCGGTAAATGCACTCCTCGCTTGCGATCCGTGATGCGGTGTCGTAGTGACTACTTTATCTGTAGCAGTAGTGGTACGAGTACTGGTAGTGAATGGCATTTGTAATGTGGTCGCGGTATTGGAGTAGTAGTAGTAGTAGTAGTAGCAGCAGTAGCAGTAGTAGAGTAGTAGT